TTTAAAATGCTTGAACTTCTTTTACAAACAAACTCAACCAAAACCAAAACAATGTAATTTTACAGTCCAATTTACCAATGCTTTCACACAGTATGTCAGAACAGATAACATCATGTTTTAAACAGAACCTATATAGGCTCAAGCCGAAGTGAACAGCTGTTCATACTGTCAATTGAAACACAAATATATTCCCTGTATATATGTGTGTGTGTGTGTGTGTGTGTGTGTGTGTGTGTGTGTGTGTGTGTGTGTATATGGCAGCTCCCATCTCCCATATGAACATGATTCTCATCTAGAAAGCACACTCATGTGTTGAGATTTTTCAAATCACGTGATCATACTGTATGTTCTAAAAAAGGACTCATGAGGTTTTTGAGGAACAGTGAGCACATTGCAGAACTCCGTCACTAATACGTCCAGATAAGGTTATGCAATACAGTGATTACTTTATGCACAGTGTGTTTTGCAGTAAACGACTCTATAAACCTGGCATTCATTAGTACATACATTAGCTATAGTACAGTGAACCATTTACACTGTCTAATTACTTTTAGAGTCATGAAGTTGGAGGTCAATCAAGTCCCACATGAAATGATCTATGGTGACGAGACTGGCTTCAACTTGGCGAAAAGGCATTGCCGTAGGAGAAACATAATAGGCCAAAGGGCCATCGTTACCATGCCGGGCCAGAGAAGAAGTCAGGAAAATGCAGAAGACCAGGCAGAATAGAAAATTACTTTGTTTTTTTATTATAATTGCAATGCTTTTTCTGTTTGTATATCTTGCAGTGATGTCCTTTTGCAAATATAAAAAATTCTGTGTCTGTATTTTTTTACATCAACTGTAAATTTTATAAAGCATTTTATTTCTTTATTTTTGTATTGAATTTTTGCAGTAAAAGAAAGAAAATGCCAGAAAACAAAATGAAAATGTAGAGAGTCTTAAAATATAAGGACAGAGCTGACACATAAACTAATGCAGTTTCTGTAATTTTAGCTGATGATAGTGTTTTTATTGTCAGTGTTTTCTGATTGACTGAATGTTTCTGTTGAAAGAGAACATGTGTTAGTGTTTTGAACAATTATGTCATTTTGGAACATGTTTGCAGTGTTTTGTTAAACATGGTGTATTGTGTTAGTTTATTATTGTATTTTGAAAAGAAGTTTAGAAGTTTAGTTTACAATGTGTGATTTTGAGCATGAAATTAACTGTTTTGCTAATTGTGTATTTTAGGTGTGTTCCTGCGTTAAGAGTTTAGCAAACTTGTTAAATATTTTGAAAAAACTGTCATAGCCTTTGTAAAAAACTGTAAATGTATCATATAATACAAACTGAATGCTAAAGAAGCACATGGAATAAATCAGAAAAAAATAATCAAATTGAAACAATTTAATTCACCTTTATTTGTATAGCGCTTTTACAATGTAGATTGTGTCAAAGCAGCTTCACATAAAAGATCATAGTAAATTGAAACAGTGTCAGATAAATTTTAAAAATTTAAGTTCAGTTCAGTTAAGTACCAACACTAATTCACCCAAAAATAATACTCAATCATTTGCTCTGCCTGAGGTTGTTTCATGTCCATAGGACTGCTGTTTCAAGAGTTCACTATTAGCTGATGATTGATAGTAAAGCATATTTAGTATGCTGTCCCGGAAGAGTGCCCTGATCTCAGAATACCATTGAGCCTGAGGCTCCTTCCCGTTTAAAGGGCGAGAGGAGAGTTTGAGCTCAGGTAGGTCTTGAGAACTCCCCTGCTTGTGAACGTGCTGAGGTATAGCTGGCTAAGAGTTTGTCTTAAGATGCTCCTTTGGAGTAGTCAGTTTAATTATGGTGTATGTCTTTGGACAGTGGGAGGAAACCAGTAAACCCCGGGGAAAAACCATGCGAATACAAGGAGAACACGCAAACTCCTCACAGAAATGCAGACCAGCTTGCTGAGGGGCCGAACCAACTGTCTCACCCCTCCATATTTGTCTGCCCTCATCCACATTACTGTTTCTTCTCGCACCCTGCAATCTTTTTCCTCCCTCCACTTGTCTGTCCATGGGCAACAGAGCATTTAGCCGCTCTGCTCCGCGGCTTTGGAACTCACTACCACCTGCCATCAGAAACACTGACTCCCTCACACTATTCAAATCAAGACATAAAACCCATTTATTTAAGATGGCTTTTAATACTTAATTAATTTTATCTGCACTATTGCTGTGTATATTTTATTATTTTTCTTGTTGTTTTATTGCCCTCCTTTATTGTATGGTGTCCATGAATTGCCAAAAAGGCGCATTTAAATAAAATGTATTATTATTATTATTATTGAAGACGAAGATGACTAGAGTAAAAAAACTCTGGTTATTTATAGTGTGTCAGTATTCATCCGATTGGTGCAATATACGTAGCTAATGCGTTACCAGCCATGGTCAATCATAAGCACGTGATCCTCTCAAAATTTGTTTATAAATGAACCACACTTATCTTCAGAATATAAATGAAGATATGAACTATATGAAGGAAACAAACTTTTGGTCCGTCTATTGTGAGTGTGGCCAGTTAAAAACCCATTAGGCCGAAATTACTAGAATGTAACCCTATATCGCGAGTGCTTTATATTGAAAATAAACATGAAAAAACTATGAATACATGTTCAAATAAACAGTACAACTAAATAGTGAAATAAACCGTCTTGAAAACAACCCGTTAAAGTCATTGTGAGTTTACTTTCACTGTAATTTGACAAAAAGGTTTTAATTGTTTTGTTTATTATTATTATTATTATTATTATAAAAGCCTTGGGGCGTCACGGTGGCTCAGTGGTTTGCACTGTCACCTTATAGCAAGAAGGTCACTAATTCGAGTCCTGGGTGAGCCAGTTGGCATTTCTGTGTGAAGTTTGCATGTTCTCCTCGTGTTGTGTGATCATGAATTCTTTTTTCTTTTGCCAGTCTCTCTCGTGCTTCTCCCCCTTCTATTCCTACAGTTGGTTCCTATTGGCTCACTTTGCCCAGCTGTTTGCCATGTCCCACTTTGACGTCATCACACTGTCTCCTATCCAGCCACTGCCACCGTAGCATAAAAGTGGTGACAGGACACTACTCGCGAGCCCTGGGACACTTTGAATTTCTGTGTTGTGTATCTGTGAATCAATACATCCGCTCCACCCGCTGTACTTTTGCTTTTCTGTAATCTTTGTGTAGGTAAGGTAGTGCATCAGAGACGCAAATATTGTCTTTTCTATTTTGATATATACATTTTTTTGGATAGTTAAGGCAGAAGTTGGGCCAATAGAATAGCTTGTTTCGTTTTATCTATTTCTATTGTTTGGAGACCGCCCGCATCTCACCTCTCCAACTTGCCCATCTACCTGTTTAAACATTTTATGTCCTACTTGTTGTTTGTGATTTACAATATATATATATATATATATATATATATATATATATATATATATATTTTAAATGTATTGTTCTTTATATATACATATTGTTGCACTTATTATCACTTTCTTTTGTAAATAAAACTCACTTTATTGCATTCAGTTAGTCATGGTATTTTGTTTTACTCATTGATATTGTGTGTTTGCTTATGTGTTTCATCCAAAATTAATGTTACTCTCCTCCCTCTTGACTGACCATCTTTAAGATTGTAATCGGGTGTTTCCCAGTACTGGGTTTTGGCTTAAAGGGCATCTGCTGAGTAAACTATATGCCTAAATAGTTAATCTACCCATCTCTGTGTAACATCCATACACACTCACACACTATGGACAATTGGCCTATCCAGTTCATCTGTATCACATGTCTTTGGACTGTGGGGGAAACCAGAGCCCCCGAAGGAAACCCACGCGAACACAGGGAAAACATGCATACTCCACACAGAAACGGCAAATGACCCAGCCGAGGCTCGAACCAGCAACTTTCTTGCTGTGAGGTGACAGCACTACCTACTGCGCTACTGCGTTTCCATTAAAAAAATCCTTGTATGCAATTTTAAATAGACTTAAATCTTAGCAAATTTTACATTTAATGAAAGTTAGCAAGGTTTTTTCCTGAGAAAGAGTTTTTGCTTTAGTCTTTCATAGCCTATAATTATACAATTAGATAAGCTAACTGTATCCACTTGTTAAATGGTGACGTATGTAATACTGTTTCCGGGTCCAAGCCGCCATTCATTTGAGTTGAGAAATTATTCGTTTATGATTTCTTTTTATTCATATCACATTTTAAAGTTAATTTTACATAAAGTCATAGTGTACACAACAATCTCTGGGCTTGTTGCATAACAAATACCAACATTTTTACAAATTATAAAAAAATGAATCACTTTCTGGTCATTGGATATTAGGCATGGATACATATATTGCGATTGTGATTTTCGAAAGTATTAAATCGCTTTGTAAACGTTTATTATTACCATTTCATGAGTCTCCCCAATCAGTTGAATAGAGCGCTTGGACCCGGAAGCCGCTTCGCGTGACGTCACACTTAACAAGCGGATGAGCTAATAACAACATTAAAACATTTCTGAGGGTTGCATCCCACATTTTTAGATGCAAAGATCCGTTCTGTGTGAATGACCCCTTAGACTTCCAGTTCAAAAGATGGCAGCATCAATGCTAGGATGACTTTTCTACTCTTGTATAAAACATAAGTATATGTTGTCTTAAACGTATGTGAGTGACATCCTATACCTTGGCTGTCTAGTCTTTCAACATGATGCTTGAGTTTCCTCCACTGCTGACGAATGCTGTTTGTGAGTTTCTCCCGAGCATGATCACATGACATTTCAGGAGGTCCCTTAGAAGGGTCCTCATCATCTGAATTTGTCTGTAAAGTCATCTGAATAAAAAAAGTAATTAAATAATATTGTAATACTGTATCTTCAAATATCCAGCAAAGCATGCTGCTTCATAATACAAGGTAAAATTTGTTGTGTAAAATGACATTACAGCCTAACCTGATCCATATTATTGCTTTGTTTCTCTTCCTTTTGGCATATCTTCTTAGAATTTAAAAGTCCAACCATCTCTCGTTTCATTTGTTGAAGCACTTTCTTCAGTTCTATGTTTTCCTGCATTAGTTCTCTCTGACGATTATCAAACTCATTGAGAAGTATTCTGTACATTTCTCCCTCATGTCTGAAAAAAAACATATATTAAGTCTTTATGAAGGGAAACTATTTAAAACATTCATTTGCAACAGTCATAATGTACAGTTGAGGAATTGTCAGAATTATTGATTTTTTTTTCTTTTTTAAATATTTCCCAAATTAAGGGCAAAGAAACTTCACAGTGTGTCAGATAATATTTTTTTCTTCTGGAGAAAGTCGTATTTGTTTATTTTGGCTAGAATAAAAGCAGTGTTTAGTTTTTAAAACGCCATTTTAAGAACAAAATTATTAGCCCCTTTAACCATTTTTTTTTCAATAGTCTACAGAACAAACCATCGTAATACAATAGCTTGCCTAATTACCCTAACCTGCCTAGTTACCCTAATTAACCTAGTTAAACCTTTAAATGTCACTTTAAGCTGTAGAAAAATATCTTGAAAAATATCTAGTCAAATATTACTTACTGTTGTTATGGCAAAGATAAAATAAATCAGTTATTAGAAATGAGTTATTAAAACTATTACGTTTAAAAATGTGTTGAAAAAATCTCTCCATTAAACCGAAATTGGGGAAAAAATAAACAGGGGGCTAATAATTCTGACTTTAACTGTATCTCTACTACCTGGATTCAGTTTTTCCAGTTTTCCAAAGACATCTTCTCCCATCCGACCTTCCAACATAATTCAAAACATCCATTCCTGAAATAGAGTACAAAGTAAAGCATTTCCTGTTCCATGGCCAGTTGTGTGTTATTCCCACATTATCTCAATTACAATGAGCAGATAAAAGGTGCAGAGTTCATTTTAAGTGTGCTATTTGCATTTAGAATCTGTCACTGTAAACTCTCAAGATGAGACCCAATGAGCAAGCAAGCCATCATCAGGCTAAAAAAACAAAATAAACCCATCAGAGAGATAGCAAAAACATTCCGCGTGGCCAAAACAACTGTTTGGAACATTCCTAAAAAGAAAGAATGCACCAGTGAGCTCAGCAACACCAAAAGACTGAGAAGACCACGGAAACAACTGAACAAAAAACGAAAATATTAGAATTATGTCAATGTCCAAATATTTATGGACATAACTCTCTCTCAACATTAGCAAACAACTATGATGAATTAAAAAGGTTTTTTTTTGTTATCATTATTTTTATTCAGAAAGAATGTATTAATCTGAAATGGTGACAATAAAACATTCATACATTGTTACAAAAATGCTGTTCTTTACAAAAAAGCAATGGTTTAACAAAAAAGTATATATTACATCATATCTCGAATCAAAATATTAGAATGATTTCTGAACCATGTGACATAACTGGAGCAATGACTACTAAAATTCAGCTTGACAACACTGCCATCTGTACATGAAACTTGCAAAAACACAAAGGACATTTTTGTGGGTCTTCATAGATAATTTTTATGCAAACACACAATAAACATTTCTATCAAAATTATGAGGGCAGGATGTGATAAGAATATTATAGATAGTACATTCATTATGCTAGTTGATATATTTAAGTAATACACAGTACCTTGTTTGTTATCCTTTTTGGCAATAAGCACTTGACTGAGGCGTTCTTTTACTTTGTTGTGCTCCCTTTCTCTCCTCTTAATATCATGATTATATTGTGTGGCACGACTCGCAATGATACCCTGCAGCCTTTGTACCTAGTAATATAAAAATGACCTTGCATATGACAAAAAACTGAGAATTAAGTTCACTGCTGAAACAAAACAAAGAAAATCATTGTACATACTTCCTCTTTTGCATCTTTCAGGCTGTTTTGCAAAGTCTTTAAGTTGGTTTCTAGCTGACGCTCTCTTTCGTGCAAGCGCATGTTTTCCTTCTTAGAAAGTTCCAGCTGGTCCTACAAACAAGTGAGAATTTATAGTAGTTTTGTTTTGTTTATTGGAAAATCTATGTATTTATATGTGGGGGAAAAAAAGCCTAACCTTCAGTCTGGAGTTGGTGAGGTGCTGGTAATGGAGGTCACTGCTGGACTTGAGCTGCTCCACCTCCAGCTCCTCCATCATTCCCACAGCACGACGGTGTAGCTGAAGCAAGTCATAAATGTTGTTTAAAGCAACCACAGCATCCAGATCACGGATGTCATCTGAGTTACGGAAAATTGGCGGGAAGCACAGAGACGACAACTCCTGTGAATGTAAAGTGGAAAATGTTCTAACAGATGACACAATTATTATACAGGCAGGAAGAGGATTAAGAGGATGTTTGAAGAACACGCTGCATGATGATTGGTGGTGAATGTCCATTGAAAATGATCAAAAAGTCTGATGAATTCTGACACACTTAACTGTTCAATGTGGTTGATTTGCAAAACATCTGATTAGATTTAATACCACATATGAAAGGCCTTGTTTACTCTTCAAGTCCTGATGCCCAATTCCAATTTAATGCTTGTATAAGATTTTCTTTTTTGAACATTCAACATTTACATATTCTTTCAATTGTGACTAATCGGATTTGTGTGTTTACACTTGTTAATGCTATACTTATATAGGTTGTATTATATGAGGTTGGTTAGCAATGTTGCTTTACAGCAAGAAGGTTGCTGGTTCGAATCCCAGCTGGGTCAGCTGGCGTTTCTGTGTGGAGTTTGTATGTGCTACCCATGTTCGCGTGGGTTTCCTCCAGGTGCTCCGGTTTCCCCTTACAGTCCAAAGGAATGCCCTATAGGTGTATTGAACAAGCTAAATTGGCCATAGTGTATGAGGGTGAATGTAAGTGAGTATGGGTGTTTCCCAGTACTGGGTTGCGGCTGCAAGGGCATTCGCTGTGAAAAAAAATATGCTGGATAATTAGGCATATATTCCATTATGGTGAGTCCTGATAAATAAATAAATAAAAACTAAGCCAAAGATAAATGAATGAATGTATTATTTGACATTTATTTCAGTTTTAGAAAGAAGTGTGCAGCATGTTGTCCGAGAAACATTAACCAAACACTTTACCATTTTGAAAATAATCAGAAAACTCATGTGACAAAGAAAAATGAGAAAATCATATCACACTTAGTCAGCTGAGTAAAAATGTGCAGCATTTAATCAGAGAAATATTAAATCAATAATTCATCATTTATAAAGCATAAAAAATAATAAAATATCATAAAAAAATATTTTCGTAAAATCATAAAAAATCATATTGCTCTGTGAAATAAGCGAATCGTTGCATTACTATCCACAAATCAAGCTTCATAAACATATGAGAGCACCTACCTGATTGATGTATTGAATGCACTCTGAGATATTCTCTTCTGTGCAGAAGTTGCTTGAAAGATTGAAAGAATTTAATGGTAGAGGAGGCACCACAGATGCTGTGTATAGTCTGGAAGGAGACATTCTAATCAACAATGCCTAAACGTCCTGGAAAATAAAGCTAAAAACATATATGTGTGCTGCATATAAAATAATACAAGCAATAGTGTTAATAAATGTAAAGTCGTCTTATATATATGGTTACGAGTAAAAGTGAACCCTGCTCTAAATGAGGTTAGGAGGAGAACTTGTCCTTAAAATAACTTTCCACAGTATTTTCAGTCACATAATCTTTCCTTTTCCCATGAGATTTCGGTTATCTGGAGCAACGGCTTTAATGCTGTTTCTTCTATCACCTACTTCTTGAATAATGCACTCACTGAAGCTGATTTAAAAGACATATTTTGGAAAGAAAAACACCTGCCATTATTTAAGCATTATTTAAAAAGACAGCAATTATTATGTTACTTTTTATAACATATATATTTATTGGCTTAAAATCATTATGGAAATTTCCATTATTTTGGAAGGTAAAATATCATAGATAAAACACTCCAAAAGAAACATTTTTCTGGAATATTCTGTTTTCCCAAGACATTACTGTAAAAATAACACAATAAAATAATAGCACAGCAGGCAGATTATAGAGTGTTATAAATCTATACAACTAATATAATATATGTGAATTAGTTATAAATAGAAATAAGATTCTAAAAACATGCAATATTGCGAAAACAACGAGATGAAGAAGAGGAAGCTCTATTCCTGTTATTAAAACCTAACGTTAGATAAGATGTAAAGTAGGTTAAGGTGAACAGAAGGATGTCTACCCTGTGAGGCTGATTTTTACACATTTACATAATGATAATGCGACATAACAGGGATGTTTACATATATTGTAATGAGAATTATCTTTCGTGCTCAATAAATTAAGCCTTAAACTTGTAAAGCGCCAGAGGTTTACTTACTGCGTATCTTTTGGCATTTAAGAGAACTCGTACGTGAGGTTTGCCAGCTTCATTTCCCGACATGTGGCGAAAATTAAAACATTTTATCCGGGAAGTTTGCGTAATAAAGCCTCTTATCTTGGCACGACGTTACATTGATGCAGGCGCTTTCCTCTCAGCCCTCAACCTTGAACGAAAAAACAGTCTCAAGCAAATGCGTTGCTTGGATACGAAGACGAGGGCGTGTCATTGGCTGCTGCTCACGCACCTCCGCGGAAATCAACCAATAAGACTCGTCGCAGTCAATGCAGGTGCTAAGTAGAAAAACAAAACAGGCTAGTTCTTATAACATCAATATACCAAATGTCGGCTGTCACTGATCTAGTGTACTAAATATTTATAAAATTGACAAGCAAATATTTCAGTCAAGTACATTTTACAGCATATCTTTCAAATAACACATATTGACTGAAGAATAAAGATAAAAGACTGAAATACGTTTATAGCCTACAGACTGAAATACTATGAATGCATCATGTCACAAAGACCATTTTTACATATTCAACATTTTGTTATTGTCTTTTTTTCTGATACACAGCAATGAGCAGCAAACATTTAAGTATGTCAGCAATTAAATTGAATAGCATACAAACACTTCATTGCAGTTAGTTATCATTTGTTTTATTTTCTGTCATCTGCTAACAGGAATAGGAAAGTCCCACGATTTGTCTTGCTGAAGGGGTCTGTCTGTCCTCTTTTTGACTCCAGCCACCAAGTAGTCATTTCACCTTTCCCCTGTTTAACAAAGAGCGCCAATCTGTAAATCTTCTTCAGCCTATCCTAAACACAATGCTCTGAAAGACAGCATTGTACAAGAGAAAGAAAGAGGGAACAGAGGAGAGAGCGACAGAGTAGAGGTGTGTATTTGCTTGTGCATAATGAACAGACATCACTTAAGTGAAAACGCAAAAGCCAGCTGAGGCCGAGTCCTAATTGAGACATGCACAGCTGAGCTGGGCTCTTGAGTTCATTCTCTAGGGATTATACAATCATTTCAGGGAGAAAAAGATCAATAGTGGATCGATTTGGTTGAAGGGTGTGTAATACACGGGATCAGCTTATGAATAAAATTACATACGCTTTTACAAATATTATGACTTAACGGCACAATACGTAAAAAAAAATAATAATAATCATTAAAATATCCGAAGATCACTAGAACAGTGGTATATATTTTGCTGACTTATGTGCCTACATTTTCACCAATATTTGAACTAATACTCAAATACAGAGAAATAAGCCATTTAGTGACACAGATCATGTCCTCTGTGGCCATGCTTATAATGCCATACACCCTCGATTCCCAGTCTGGTTTTTACTCACCTGTTTTGCAGGCACAGCCATTTGAATCTTTTTAGCCTGATACTTCCAATCTCATTCACTTTCCAGGTAGCAAATAATTCTGGCCCAGATTTGGCTTAAAGCTGGCACAGAAGGCATTTGTCCGGCACTGTCATACAGCATGTGGGCCAAACTTGGCAGAGGTGGCACTGTCTTTAAGGTTGCACAAAAGATTTGGGCCAGATATAAAATGTAGTATTTGGTCCAGATAATAAAAACTGATATGTGGGTTTTGTCATTTTGGCTTGTCTTGACCCACATTTAAAATACAATATAATTTTTTTTGAGTAAAGAAATCAGGTCGTCAATGCTTCATGGGTTTATCAATTTCTTTGCAATTGTGACACACCAACCTACTGTATCTGGCCCAGTTATGACTTGACCCAGATAAGGTCCATGTTTGAGAGGGGTCTGGCTGCAGACCTGGTGCAGTGCAATCTGAGCTGCATCCAATGCTTTTAATGGGCTCATCTAACCCCACCCCTAACCCTACCTATCACAGTGATGTCACTAGCTCCATTTGAGTGCATTGTGTCTGACATTGCATCGCTGAGTGATGCAGTCTCAGCTTGCATCATAAAGGCTGCATTCAGATACTATTGCCATGTTTGGCCCTTGTCTGGAAGCCAGACTTGGTCCAGTCATGCACCGTAATTCACTGCGCGATGTAGGACAAGCAAAACCTGATTGTGTGGGCCAAAGCTGGGCCAGAGAAATTCTGCTGTTTTGGTTCCATTCATTTTTAGACATCAAAACATCCAATTATGCTGTTTGATGCTGCAAACTGATTATTTCTTATTACATTATTCTTCTTTGTCTGTATAGTCATGCAAACACTAGTTTATGCAAGTAGTTTGACCGTTTTGTGTGTTTATTATTCCTAGTCTTTTCTCCCATAGGTAACTGGAATAGAAGTTCCAAGACAGTCACAAAAACAAACACACTTCCACATTTAAGAATAAGGTCAACTGGAAAGAGGGAAACACCAAGATGCTTTAATATGTTGTGTATATTTTTTTTTTTGTCAAATAAGTTTTTTATTTGGTCGTTGAATAAACTTACAATAATCACAGGATTAGTTTTCTGATATGCATACATTTACAAAAACAAAACAAACAAACAAACAAACAAACATAAAAAAACCAAACACCCCAAGCCCAGCCTGTAAGTATACACTACAGTGATAATCAAAACAACTTTTAGTTACAATACGTGAAGTTTATTCATAAACTAATTTCGAGAGGATCACGTGCTTATGATTTATCACGTCCAGTCTCGCATTTGCTAATCACTAATCTTCCAATCATATGAGCCCTAAGGCACCATAAATAGTCTAAGTTTTCAGTTCACTTTATCTTCGTTTGGAAGAAGCAGCTTCACCGTAGCCAGCTCCATTGAAGAACCAACTCTAAACCTGCATGGACAACCAAAGCAGCTACAAGCTACAATCTTCAGGATCTTCGTTTGGAAGAACGCTCTGCTCTGCTCATCAACTACAAAAGCTACAAGCGCTACAAAAGCTACAAGCTACAAAAGCTTCAATCTACAAGCTCCAAGCTTCAACCTACAATATACAATCTAAAAGCTTCAATCTACATGCTACAATATACAAGCTACAACAACAACAATTACTATTACTATTATTTCAAACAACTACAACTCCAACAGCTTAAACAACAACAACAACAACAACAACACCAAAACCTTCCACTTCAAAGAGCATCCACAACGCATCTGTTGTGTCTTCAACCTAGTTCCCAGCAAGATATCAGCCAAAACTCCAAAGCTATTGCAATGAAACTGAACCCTCACCTTCTTCTAGCAGTACACATGCGATCCATCGTTTAACAGATTGTTTGCTGGAATGTGTTCAGCAGAGCAGCAGCTCCAGCCATAAACAAGTTGAATTTGATCAACAAAATGGCCGCCAGGCTTTTTGCACCTTTTGCATGGCCTGACTGAAACTCCTTTAAGCCAATAGCTGTAAAGAGAAGCGTCACCATCCAATGAGCTAAAAGACTGGAGATGGTCCCGCCCTCTCTCTTGAGTCTGTTGCAAAGACCTTATGAATGAATAGGCCAGACACGCTTGTAAATTCAGTTAAGTTTAAAAAAAAAAAAAAATTTTTACTTTTGAAAAGATTATTACCCAACTAGTAAATATTAGACAGCTATTGGAAAACATTATGCCATCAAGCACAGAAGTCCAATTGTAATATGCCAGCGACTCATGTGTTGATATACAAAGCGTCATACAAGATTATATAGCAAGCCAGTCGGATGTGAAAACGGCAAAGATACAAACTTCCCACTTGACTGTTATAAATAGAAATTTAAACTTCACTATCACTTCACATGCTCAGTCTTCAAGAGGTACCAGTTTTCCAGGACCACAGGACAAACTACACCCCATATCCTCAGCTCTCCATTCATCTGCCATCCCGTGGGGAGACGAACACCCACCCCTACCATCCTTGCACAGTGTATCAATGAAGCTATCGGACCATGCATTAACAAAAGTGCTTCAATTTACAGCCGCCCATGACCTTATTAAGATGCCTCGCATGGATATCAACTAAAACATTTTCATGTCTGCCATACTTGTATTATGTTGCAAAGATTTAATTTTTGATTCTCTTTGTTTTTCTATTTTAGAGATCATGACTGCTGGCTCCAGAAGCTGACCCTCATCCAACCTATTACACTCTACATCCTCTTCGCAAAGGATACATTCCATTTTCACTTTATCTAATCTATACTAACCCGCAGTCTGCGATCTCCGAACCTGAAACCGTCGATTATCTTATTAAAAAGAAATCGACAACAACCCTATGATTGGACCATTCAAGGCTCCTTCATTTAATATCTCGCGCATTAGCCCATTGGTGTCGCTACTCAAAAATTTTCTGGCAAAAACGCCTTATAGTCGACCTTTCGTCCCAACACAATTGCTCTTTTCCTAGCATTAACAGCACAATCCCATCGGACGAATATTCGCTTAACTACCATGACATTGATCAAGTGATCTCTCTCTCTCTCTCTCTTTCTCATATAAAGATAGCCGGTCGTAACACCTGGCTAGCCAAAGTAGATATTCCTCTACTTTAAAAAATCATGCCAATCCACCCAGACTTCTGGCACCTTTTTGGCATTTATTGGCGCAATCAATTCTATTTTGCAGTCCGACTAACTTTCGGATGCAAAAGCAGCCCAAAAATATTTGACATGATGTCAGAAGTATTATGCTGGATTCTATACAATAATTACGGAATTCCATACCTCATCCACCTTCTAGACGATTTTCTCATTATGCTCCCCCGACATCTCCTCCAGCCAAACACTTAGCGATCACCCAACAAGTTTTCGCTGATCTCGGAATTCCTCTAGCAGAGGAAAAAACTTCAGGTCCCAGTACTTCAATCGAATTTCTGGGCATTAATCTAGACTCGCATAAATTTCAAGCATCCCTCCCTAAAGAGAAAATCGATCGGATCATTTCTCTATCCCAAATCTTCCTCGAAAAACAGATGTGCACAAAACGAGAACTCCTATCAATTCTCGGTCATCTAAATTTCGCTACGCGCATCATTCCACAGGGCCGCCCCTTTATTTCCCACCTCCTTCAACTATCTACCACAGTTCAAGGTTTAGAAGAAATAATTGTTCTCTCTAAACCAAGTCGCGATGAACTCTGCTTATGGATATCTTTCCTTAAGCAATGGAACGGCTGTTCCTTTTTCTATAGCGACTTAACAACATCCCCCATCGACATTAACCTATACACAGACGC